TATCTATCTTAGTCATATGATTTAAGGAAATATATTCTTTAATAAATTGTGAATATTGAATTTGAAAATTGTTGTTTTGATTAAATCTTTTTCTAGATTTACAAACCTGGTACAGGCTGCATTGAATGAATCGCCTAATACATCAGGAGATAGTTTTAATGATAACTTTACTACAAAACGACCCTCTTCATTTCTAGTAGTATTTTTGTGAAAATGATTTTCACAATCTGATTCATCTTTTGGCAGAACTGAATTTACAGGTACTTCTTCTAGTTCCCAAAATCTTAATTGAGCATCTTCTGAATAAATGTGTTTGCAAAATTGCATCTGGATAATGAAGTTGATACAGGACTTTTTCCTGAAACAACCCAGCCTAGTTTAGTATTTTGTAAAATAGGTAACCCGTTACCAAGATATATTTTTCTTTCTGTTAGAAGGTCCCAAAAAAGATCTGCACCTATAAGCATATAAATCTCTCCAGGTTCAAAAAATTGTTCATCTGATAATTAAATATTTTTAGGGATAATTAAAGATGGTGGATTAGTTTTTGTGCAGGTATTTCACTGCATATGTTGGAAATCACATAACATGAAATTGTTGTTTGATAATTGTCAATTTAGAAAAAATAGTCAAATTGCATTTTTTTGATAAATGTGATGTTATTTGATTAATTCCAACTATGGATAGTTTTGAATCTATTAAAGGTATGTCAATTTTATTGCAAAACGCTTGTATAATTAAATTGTTTTGTGAACCACTGTCTAATAGAGCTCGACAGTAATGTTGGTTGCCTACCGTTATCTTTTACATAAAAGTCTACAGTGGATAATAGAATTTGTGTATTTGAATGTTGAGGTTGTATGAATAAATTGGTAGATGTTGGATTATTGGATTGTTCATGAATTAATGAATTATGTTTTACATTGCAAATTTTGCAAGGCCCTAAATAGCATGATTCAACCTTATGTCCTGTCCTCAGACAGTTTACACACAACTGTAAGTTGTGAAATTGATTCTTTTCTTTGATTGATATTTAGTTTTAAGAAATCAGAGCAACTGTATATTGTATGGTTATTCTTTTTACAAAAATTACATTTTTTGTAATTATTATTTGAGTTATGGCTGGAAATTGCTAAATTAAAAATGTGAATGATTTTTTGTTTTGTTTGGTTTTATATTAGAACTAGGATTAATGTTTACATTTGTAGTGTTGTGTATGATTTCCAATATGTCTGCTTTTGATTTAAGAAATTCTAAGAATTCCTCCATTTTAGGAAGTTCACCACTAAATTTTTCTCTTTCCACTCTCTAAAAGTATTTTTTTATCTAATTTTGATGAAACTAAATGTATAATTAGAAAATCCCACAACTGGTCTTTACTAATACCTATGTTTTGTAAAGATATAAGATTTTTTGATACATTGTCTAATAGTCTACGAAACTGGTTGAAGATTCTTTAGAACAATGCTCTATGTTAAGAATTGAATTTAAATGACTATCTACTAAAAAATACTTTTTGTCAAACCTGTCTTATAATGTGTTCCCAAGCTTCTTGATATAAATTATCAGTAAATGGAATTTGATCGATTAAACTTTTTGCATAACCTTCTAGTGATGCTCTCAATAAAGAAAATTTCTGAGAATGTGTCAATGATGCATTCTCATGTATTGTTGAAAGGTAATTACTTTTAAACTCCAGCCAACTGTCATAATCACCTTTAAACATTTGAAGTTTAATTTTAGGTAAAATAATATTTTGTAATGGATCTTTATTATAACTATTACAACTTAATGAATTGTTACTAGTTTGATTTGCAGACATACTTTCTATGTATGTTTTAAGAAAACTTAGAGTATCATAATACCGCTTTTTAAATTGTTCTCTCTCCTTATAGTTCTCCTCAAGTTGTTGTTCAGGACAATTTACCTCTATTTCTAATTGAATGCTTTCAAAGTCTTTATCTATTAACTGTAATTCATTAATTCTAATTGTAGCATCAGTTAATGAAGGTTTCCTATCTGGTTCTGATGTTTTTATAACATCTATAAACTTTTCTACCAAAGTTAACCGCTTTTTAACTGAACCCCTAGTTCTAACACATTTTGCTAAATCAGACATGATTATTGATTAAAGCCTCTAAATTGTGAATAATAGGTTGGATAATCAGTAAGGTAAAATAGGAAATAGAATGAATGACTTACGATTACCTCCCGTGTGTGTATATGTAGAAGACTTCAATCTGAATTTTTATAAGTTCTTGTGGATATTTTTTGAAAATAGCTGTTTCTGGATGTATCACGCTCGAAGGATCAACAAATGTTGTGTTTTTGTACTCCATAGGGTATTGGATTGTATGATGAATAAAGATTTTTACTTTTTGTTTTTTATTTTTCACACATGGATACATCTGTCATATCTATGTTATATGTCAAGTCAAACTTCTTCTTCTTCTTTATAAAATCAGTTGTACCAACTGCTAAGTACAAAAACATTAAAACATAAAAATCCTAACAGCACTTGGACACTGAAGGTTGATATTTTCCACCGGAAGTGGTTTTTACTTTTTTAGCTAATAGTTTCGCGGATAATTTGAATACAATAAGTGAAAGATCATGACTGTTACGATACATAAAACCAAGATTACGAAATCCTGTTTTCACACTCGCGGTTGCTAGATTTATAGATAGGTGTAAGAAAACTATTTTTCAAATATTGTGGAAATACAGATGATGACAATGATAAATTGAAAATTGGTTGTCAAGGTTTACAAAGGGAAAAAATACAGTTCTTAATAGGTGCTGCAAGTATACCATCAGCCCTGAAAAATATGTAGTTTTTAAACTCCTAATCCCCTCAAAAACATCAGTCAGACTAAACTTTAGAATCTGGAAATCCACACTATGGTCCAATTTAAAATTATGTACATTATACTCACTATCATTATATGTACATGGCAAATAGATTGACTATTTCATTTCTACTTTGAGCTATTACATCCATATAACCTACACATATTTAATTTATTGACTCAAATATATCAGTTATTTTAATTAAACATCCTTAAATATAAAAGAAATTACAGCAGTTACACTTTGACATAATATCACATATTACAAATATCTGAGGACTGGTCACTGCCTGATAGGAGTCATCATCATCATTACCAATCAGCCAATCGCGTCCACTGCTGGACATAGGACTCCCTCAGTTCTTTCCAGTGTTCTCTACACTGGGCCGCTTGTAGCCAGTTTCCCGCTACACGTTTTATATCATCGGTCCATCTATTCGGTGGTCGTCCTCGGCTTCTTTTACAGTTTCTGGGCCTCCATTCCATAATACGTCATGCCCATCGTCCATCTTGTGTTCTGGCTAAGTGCCCTGCTCAGTTCCACTTAACCGTCCTGGTTCTTTCGATGACGTCTTGAACTCCTGATCTTTGCCTGATTTGTTGGTTTGTTATGTGGACTCGAAGGCTCACGTTCAGCATTGTGCGTTCCATGGCTCATTGTGTAACTCTTAGTTTATTCGCAGATTTTTGAGTGAGTGTTAAAGTCTCTGCTCCATAAGTTTGTACAGGTAAAACACATTGGTTATAAACCTTTCGCTTGAGATACATGGGAATTGAACTTATTAAAATATGGCTTAATTTGCCAAATACTGCCCATGTTAGGCCTATTTACCTCTGTATTTCATGTGTTTAATTGTCTCTGCTTATTTTTATTTCGTGTCCCAGATATTTGTAAGTGTCTGTTTGTTGTATGGTATTATTGTCAATAGTTATATTTCCACTGATTACGAGATTTGTTAGAAGTTTAGTTTTCTCAAAGTTTATCTTTAATCCTGCTCTTTCAGACAGGCTTTTAAGCGAATGCATCATAGGAAACTGTATCATGTAAATTATCTGCGATTAATACAACATCATCTGCAAATCTTATGCAAAAGCATATCAATGCTTCTATGTGATAATAATCCTAAAACCATCAAAATCCTTATTAGATTCTTACAGCCCAATCATATAAAATTATAACCTATCCAATATTAACATTTAAATAACTTATAAAAAAACCTAAACAAATATATACACCTTTGACTCAACATAATGGGGCATGATATACATTCTCAGAATCATGACAGTGGCCCTAAAAATAAATAAAGCAAATGCAATGGCTGATTATTCGGGAGAATAAAAGCCAATGAGAAGAAGAAGAACAAGCATGTTACAGTAGAGCAGCTGTTCAACTGTTACAAGAAGACATCAACAACAATATTTGTTGATGATGTCTTCTTTAAAGATACCAGTACCTAGATGAACACAAATATTTTCTATCAGGGTTAATATTTTCATCATTTAATTTACATAATATTGGTAAATAATGTTGAAAATAAAATTGTTCTGCCTTAGAGATGATTTGCCTTAAAAAATTATTATTCCTAGTCACTTCGAAGTTTACGCTTTCTTTTGGAGAATAAATAAATAACTCACATTTATTCATTCCCGTTGAATACATCTGTACCTGGCATTTTTTTTTTAAAAATAAATATTTTACATTGCTTTTTATTCTCCCAATCAATAATTGGTTGTTTAGAATAAGAGTGTGGACATTTTATGTCACTTTTTGTGAAAATGCAATTTTATTGCACCACACCATCTAAACTGACATATAACCATTGATTCCTTTTACATGGAATAAGGCCAACCTGAAGCACTTTGCAATTAAAAGTTTGTTCATACAAATGTCTGGCAACTGGTTCATTTGTTACATATTTGGTTAAGTCTGTATTAATACTATTTGGATTCAACTTAGTTTGAACCAAAGATTCGATGGTTTTTGTTCTCCAAACTTTAATATTGTGCACATCTTTACTCGCTGTTAAACATTGTCTTCACGCATCAAACTATAATTTAGACATTGATTGTTTAATAGTTTCACAGCACAGTTTCACAGTTTCTTTCTCACTTTTCAGAATGTTCTCCTCATAAAACTGTTTCACTTCCACATCAAGTTCGTAACTTGTAAAATAAATTTTCTTGCTCATCTATTTGAAGTGAAAAAAACTTGAGAATTTTGGTTATATAGTCCTTATAACCATAAACTATCATATGTTTTTTAACTTCATCTAACAAATATGAAACTGTTGCTTTGACTGCCACTTCTGTTTTATCTGCATTAGCTGCAATTAACATTGTCTTCAAAGCAGATTGTTGTAATTTACTATGATTGACAGTAAATTGTTTCCAAGATTCTGGAGGTTGCTGATGTTTTTTTGGAAACATTAACTTACAACTTCTCCCCTTTGAATATTTTTCCACTGTTAACTGCGAGTACTCGGAATTCCCCATTGTTTTATGCTACTTGTTTTTGTTACACTTTCATCACAGTTTATAAAATGAATTAGAGCATACACATGCTTGCATCTATGACTTTTAAGCGGTTTGGAAACTGACGTTTGTCGGATAACTGACGCCTGGATGCAGCTATTATATTCCGAAACATTGCTTACATGCCCTGCATCAACTAAATCTTTCCCCTTTTTTTGGTGTGGCTGGTTGAAATGGGATAGCATATGATATAGACTTAAAACCAGTGAAATGTTTCATATCCATTTTGATAAAATTAAAACAAACTGATATCTAAGCACTTAGGCCTACGCACACAGAAAATAACTGAACAAAAACAGAATGAAAATGCAAAATGAAAACAAAAGTTACAACGTTACAAGAGGTAAAGTAAAGGTAACCTTTAACCAAAGAATATATCTTTAACCATTAAATATTTTCACATAAATTTCTTCTTTTTCTCAATGGCCCCTTGCGTAAGTAGTCATCGAGTTGCATGAACTTATATCTTAAATATTATAGTTATAATGATTAAATTAAAAAGGCGTTATTAGTTTTACTATTAATTCTGTGTGTTCGTTCAGTTATCAGTTTAAAATAATATTTCAGTTCATAATTTTGTAATTTTAGATAAATACCGTTTTGTCATATTTCACTTACACCGATTTTACAAGAAAAGTACAAGTTTCAAACCTGGAGAGAGCGCTACCGGCGAAACTCACAGCGAATATTAGTCGAATAAAGGAAATATGTAAGCTCGTGATCTATTAATGATTTCTTTTGAAAAATATGTATGTAGTTGAAACGGTCAGATAAAATTTATTTATTTGTATATAGCAGCGCTAAAACTAAATAGCAAACGAGGTTTGTTAGGGCATATAGTTTTAAATAAACAAATAAACCGAATCAAATTGTTTCTAGTTCAAATTTAATTCAATATTATGCACTACTATTGTAATCGAAATAATAGTTGCATAATCTACCCATATAACTATACACGCCTCGGTCAATTTGTTTCCAGATGTAGTCCGATACATCAAGCTTTGGTTGTCGTTAAGTCTGTCTGTCCGTATTAGCTCCAAACTGTCACGTCGACAAATCTGTTTGTACCATTAGGATATTTCGCTAAAATTACATTTGTCAGGTGGAATTTAATACCTATATCCTCCTCTAACAGCATTTCGACCGGTATATCCCTGTCCTGGCACAAATGTGTAAGCTTCATTTATTTTGACAATGATTAGTCACTAATTCTGATTAGATTTGCGTTACAAATAGTTGTAGGCTCTAGATTCGATACCTTTGAATGGAGCGACTAAAATTATACATTTAGAATTTCATTTATCTACACTTTAGTGCATTAAAACACAAAATTATTAATTAAATTAAGACAACGAATTGGAAAATAAGAATTCAGAATTTATTAGTCATAAAATATTTGTAAAATTCGTTAATTACTGCTGGTATGATACAGAAACCAAATAATTGGACAAAAAATATATGAGCTGGGCTCTTCAAAGAAGTGTTCGTATCAGAACGCAGCCATTTTGTGAGTCAAGAACAGTCAAACTGTTTCTAGAGAAACAGTTTTTGTTTTTTAAGTTTGTTGTAGAAATATATGTATGTAAATAATTCCAAATATATGTAATTTTAAAGAAAATGAGCTGGACTGTTTAAAAAGTGTTCCTGTCAGAACGCAGCCATTTTGTAAGACAACACATTTATTTTTTAGTAACATTTAAGCCTCCATTAGTCGCTTGGGTGACAGGGGCCAATCACGTCTATATTTTGCTCATTGTACTCAACTGGCACGGCTAGGCCTGGTACCGCACATGTAACTTCATATTAAGGTTCTTCTTCTTCTTCTTGCTCTTTAAAAGCAATTCTGCTTGTATATTGGCGGACGAATACCTCTATGGAAGGTTGTGACTCCATCTTTTGTGCGATCGTCTAATACTTCTTCTGTCGATTGGTGGCTTTCTCTTGCTATTTTGACGACACAGGTCTCCTTCATTCTGCTTATGTTGTAGAATGTAGAAAATGGGGCGGCCAATAGAGCCTGATACACTGCGACCTTTGCAGATCTATTGTGTTGTCCCCTTATTTTAAAGCACTTCATCTAGCTTGGTCCTCTTAATGAGACTCAACAGCCTTGATAGTGGCCTTTTCATATAGCCTGGTGCTTCCGGTTTTTCCTCTCCGAGTTCTAGAAACCGCATTCGTGCGAGACCTTCGCAATGGCACAGAACGTGTAGAGCGGTTTCCTCTTCTTCCAGACAGAAACGACAGGTGTCCTCTTCTGTCAGGCCTATGAGACTCAAGTGTCTATTGAGTCTACAGTGCCCAGTGAGCAGACCCACTATCATTCTGACAGTCCTGCGTCTGTGCGAAAGTAAGTCTGCTGTAAATTTAGCCGAATGTTCTTTGATGAACTGTTTGGCCTGCCTCTGTCCTGGTGAGTTGTTCCACCACTCAAGAGACTTCTGTTGCACCCATTTGTATATGGCTGCCCTTTTTATCGTATTTGCGATTCCAAAGAAGGGTTCCGGACCAACCAGTGGCGTAGATGCGCCTTCTCGGGCCAATTCGTCGGCCTTCTCGTTGCCACGATGGCCCTTATGTCCCGGCACCCAGGCAAGTGTCAACCTGTTTTCGACTTCCTACCTGAGAGAGGACATCCAAACAGTTCCATACCAGCCATGAATCGACCTGTACCGAACTGAGAGCCTTTAGAGCCGCTTGACTATCCGAATAGATAACGATGGAGTCGTTATCTACATTTCGGCCGATTAGTTCCATAGCGCACCTGTGTATAGCAGCTAATTCGGCTTGAAATACGGTCGCGTATGTTCCTAGACATACCCGGACTTCCGTCCTTGGTTTTATGCCATATATTCCAGCCCCGTACCTATATCTGTTTTGGAGCCGTCCGTATACCATATTGAGTTTGCTGTTAGCGGCGGACCAGTTTCCCAGTCCTCTCTTTTTGGTATTGTAATTTGAAAATTTTTATTAAAACTATACCTCGTAACCATTCGGTCTACAGGCATTCCTAGAACGGGGTCTGCCTTTATGTCCTGGTATAGCCTTAAGTTATCAGCTCCCTGCATCATACTTATTGGAGCTTGGCCTTGGATCAACCGATGTACTGTTGATCTAGCTTCACTCTGTATGTATATATGTAGAGGTGGTAGGTTTAGCAGAACTTCTAGCGCGTCCGTTGGGGCTGTTCTCATGGCTCCTGTAACACTCAAGCATGCAAGCCTTTGTGTGCTACTAAGCAATCGAATCGCCCCGGACTGTTGCGTTTTGTTCCACCACGCCACTGAACCATAAGTTATCATGGGCCTTATAACCCTTGTGTATAACCAGAGGTTCATTTTAGGATTTAACCCCCAATTCTTACCACACATTCGTCTACATGTGTTCAGGGCCATAGTGGCCTTCTGTGTGACTTTCTGAATGTGTGCATTCCATGTCAGCCTCTGGTCGAATATTACACCTAAGTACTTGGCCTGACTTGTGAATGGGATTTCTACTCCCTTGAGCGCTAGTGGTTGTAAGCCTTGCAGTGCTCTTTTCCTGGTGAAGGGAACAACAGATGTTTTTTTAGGGTTAACCTTCAGGCCTTCTTCCTCACACCAGCTCTCCACCATCCTCAGAGCGACTTGAAGTCTCTCCGAAATTATTTTGGTAAAGCGTCCTCGGACTACAATTACCAAATCGTCCGCATAACCCAGGCAGTAAAAACCCTCCCTGGACAGTGTATTAAGTAGGTCGTCCATAAGCGTAGCCCACAGTAATGGGGATAAAACTCCTCCTTGTGGGCAGCCGCTTCCTGCCTTCGCTTCAATAGTGGCTTCACCTAACGAAGACACAATGATCCTGTTTGTTAAGGTCGCCTTTGTCCACTGTAAGGCAGGAACTCCTCTCCTTTTAAGCGCGTTCGTTACAGACTCGAAGGAGACGTTATTAAACGCTCCCTCCACGTCCAGAAACGTCGCCACCGCTATCTCCTTGTCATCTAGCGACTTTGAGAGCAGTCTGTTAAAATCATCCAGCGCCAAGTCAGTTGACTTTCCTGGCTGGTATGCATATTGGCGATCGCTAAGTGGATTCTCCATCAGCACTTCGTCCCTAATATACATGTCTATCAATCTTTCTAACGTTTTTGCTAGGAAAGAGGATAGACTTATTGGTCTGTATGACTTGGGGGTCTGGTCCATTACCCTACCAACCTTGGGGATATATGTGACTTTCACCCTTCGCCATGCGGTTGGAATATATCTCCATGCCAAACTAGCTTTGAAGATCTTTGTTAGATGCGGGATGATCACATCCTGTCCCTTCTGTAGCAAGACTGGATAAATCCCGTCCATTCCAGGTGATTTGTATGGCTGGAATTTATTGATGGCCCACCTGACTTTTTCCGGTCTCGTGATGTCGGTAGCTAATTTCCAGTCCGCCTTAGTAGGCCTTCTGGGATGAGCCACCTCTACCGAAGGATTATTGTCAATGGATGAGCTGGGAAAATGTACCTTGGTGAGCATTATTAAGCTTTCCTCCAGGGTTTCTACATACGTTTCGTCCTCTTTCTTCAAGAGGCCGACCTGATTCGCAATACCATCCTTAGCCAGGACCTTGTGGATTCTGGAACATGCGGGAGCCTGTTTGACTTCCTCGCAGAACTTTCGCCACGAGTCTCTTTTGGCTTTTCGGATCTCCATATTATATTGCGTCAGTTTTTCTCTATAAATGGCCCAGTCCTGGTTGAATTTGGCTTTATTGAATAGCCTTCTTACATCTGCCCTAAGCTTTTGTAAGTATTCATTCCACCAGGGTGTGTTTTTCTTTCCTTTCTTTTCTCTCTCTGGACAATTCTCCTGGTAAGCGGCCAGAACAGCTCCCCTCACCGTTTCGACTGTCAGTTCGAGATCTTCCGTATCTTTTATGGTGCCGATTCCTCCCTCAAGAGACTTCTCGAGTGAGCCTCTATAGCCTTC